CAATCACAAAATTGCATGGGTTAAATTTTTGTGTTCCCTCCTGTTAATTTTGTGTTCCCAGTACGTTCCCTCCTGTTCATGTACTTACCTCCAATAAATTCCCTGACCGTAACTTCTTCGTGAAAATTAGAAGGAAGTTCATACATATATTTTACAGGATCTTTCTTAGATGCGGGTAGGTAATAGTTGAGTGTCTTTTCCATATTTTTCTAATCGTAAAGAGGAAATTCAAATTTGATACTCTATCTGCATAATCGATCAGATAATTGGGGCTGTGCAACAAAAATTATTTTTAGATTCTTGATACACAGAAAGATAATGCATGCATGATTTATTTGTGAGATTAACCAAATTTGATTAATTACCTCATGTACATATCTTTTCTTTTGAGGAATTCCTTGGTGTAAATACCAGCATTACCTGTCTTTTAGATTCAGAAGATGACATAGAAAGGAAATGTTTAAAAAGGGCAGTACTATCAAATCATAAACCATATCTGAGACGTCTTATGAAACATTTATTCCCTTTGACTTTTTAAAAAATGGATATTTGATCAAATCACCATATTCAAATTTACCCAACCAATAAAATTCATAAAACCATGTGTATTATACTATGGAAGAAGTTCAATAATAATAACAATTCTCATTTACTGAATCCTTAGCATTCATGTAACATGTCATATTGCATATACATATACTCTAAAACATCGCCATTGTAGCAAAATGCATATTGTTGGTCTTTTCTATTCATGAATCGACTAAAAAGGACTTATTTATAATATTAACTTATTTCAGTACAAGTTTCAAACAAGTAAATATGAATTTTCTCACACAAATTACATTAAATATTTGATATAAATAAACCACGCAAATATTATGTTCTCTATACAATTTAATATTTTTCAATTAAATATGATTTGTACTGAACCAAGTTTTGATACTGTAGCTAGGTTCAATGAATTACCCAATCTTTGGGACGTTAATGAAGCAAAAAATGAACAAGTCACTGAAGAGACCTTTAAAACTTTAGGACAACTATTTGTGGCCCACCATGTTAAAAGTATCTTTGGCCTTACCCTTTTGCATAACCATTTTTTGCTTGAAGAAGGTGAAATTTTACTTGAACCCGGGTTCGTTAAATGATTATCAACAAAAAATCATTAGCCAACCAGTTAAAACTGATAAATTGGCATCTTCTGCCCAAGGATTCAATTGGAGAATTACTCCGGATAAGTCATATGTACCTTATGAATTTCGGCCTGCAACAAAAAATTTGGTAATTACCATTATTGTATGTCCATAAAATCTTATTTACTCATTCTAATATCCATTGTATTTATTATATACCTAAAGAAAATAGACTTCTTCTCCTGTGATATCCAATTGTTCCTTGAAGAATTTCACAAAAGTTAAATGAACTTGATTTAACACATATCTTCAGCATATGTACTATTAATAAAGAAGATCTCCTGAAACCTGGCCTCGAACATACTGAGGGAAGAAAAAATATTACAGTTCCTTTAGCTGATTCGGAGGATACCTTTGATAAAATTATTGAAGCACTTTGGGTTTTTAAGCATGATTCTAACAAGAAAGCCATTCAGCGGGCATGTAACATATCGTGTGGTTGGTGTGGTTCTAATGGGCATATTAAATTACATAGCCCTACTTAAAATAGTTTTTTACATGTGTAGTGAGTTTGGTTTAGCCACACTTCGAACTGATGTAATTTATTTCTATATTATCAATAAAACAAGTCTCTTGTGAGTTTTTCTACATGTTATATGTAGTTGCATAAATATCATGAAAAAATAACCCAATCCTAGGACTAATCCAAATAAAATGGAATGCGTTTATGCCATTGAACATAGAGAAGAGGACCCTGAACAATTTTTGACTGTTACCGAAGCTGAGAAAAAAAATGTTTCCATAGTGAATTGGAAAAGAGATATGCATTTCTATCAAAGTGCAATAGAAGAAGGGGAGGATCCTAAAAAATATTTGAAATTAACGGATTGGGATAGGTTAATTGGTGAAGAGTTGTTGCGTCGTAGCATACTAAAAATTGGTTTAAGTAACTGGATGGCTCGATGACCTTATGAAGGAATGGGAAAAACCGTATCCAATTTTAAGAACCCAGATAAAAGTATAATAACAGTGGAAGCGTAATTGTAGATAAGTAATAAAAATCAGTCTCTCAGAGTGAATCTGATATTTGTATCTTTGTAATGCACACATGATTCTTTTATATTCCACAGAAATTTTGCATAATCAATCGATAATCTATATGTTGACGACATTTTAATTAGCTGTGCAACAAGAATTATTTTTAGAATTTCTAATGTGTATGACACATGATCATAATAATGCATGCATGAAAGCAGCATAGTGGACTTTCGATTTTAACACTAAATGTGACATAAAGTGACGATCATATTTATATTGTGCAACTAACAAAATTAATTGAAAAAGTACTCATTAATGTATAGTGCAGGACATCTATAACGGTCAATGATTATCACATGATTTTAAAAGCTTATAACTCCTTATTAAAAAAATAAAAATAAAAAGTAAACCGATAAAATTAAAGCTAAAGACCTAAGCTTCATTTCCATCAGTTTACTTTTTTCATTTTATTAGAAAAGTTTTGGGTTATAAGGCTTCAAAAACATACAAATTTTATAATAAAATGAAAATTTCGGACATGATTTTCCTCAAAAATTTCTTTATTTGTTACTAGTGTACTCCAAAAGTCATGTGTTTTTGTTACACCAGAAATTTTTATTTTGAGGTGTATATATATATACCACACACACATACATAAAATCATTAAAAAAATTAAAAAAATTTCACTTCATATACTTTGAGAAAAATGCCAAGACCAACTAAAAGTAAGTCTAGTTACAAAAACCAAATAAGAAATCCTGATGGAACTTTTTATAGTAGAAAATTAAATAAAGGAAAGGAAATAGGTAATGATTTTTCATGAAAACTCTTGGAATTGGTGAATAAAGAAACTCTTAAATTGAATATCTAAAGATTATTTTTCAGAAAGCACCCTTGGGAATGTGGCTGAATTGGACAATGATAATTTCTTGGGAGAAGTTCTTGAAAATGAAGTTGAATTGGGTGAAGACAATTTTTCAGAAGTTCTTGAAAATGAAGTTGAATGGGGAGATGATGATGATAGTGGTTGGGAAGAGGATATAGAACAAGAAAGAAAATTTTTCAAAAAAATAATTGAAAAGCCAATAGAGTTAAAATGGACTGATGATGCACTGTTAATAAAGCAAAAGAGAGGTGTGTATATGAAAGGTAAGACTCCAAAATCCACTTATTATGATAAGTATGGACCAAGTGGTTCATTTACTAAAGGCGCAGAAGGGAGTTCAAAGATTACACTATTTTTCCCAAAAAAAAGTCACAATTCTAATGATTTACCAAGTGATTGGAAGGAGGTTTTAGACAATTCTGATGATTCTGATATTGAGTGGGAAACTCAAGATCTATTTAATCGAATAGAAGCTTTAAAGAATGATATTATTACTAACCAAAACAAAATGAGCATATTGGAGTATAACAAGAAACGTGCAATTTTTGAATATTTAAATAGATTGGACAACAAAGGAAGAGGGAAAATGAATGCTGGCATAGAAGCAGCTAAAATAATATTTATTGAAGGTAACCCAGGTAAGCCCAGAATTATAAGATGTTGGGCATCATTTTGGTTGAAAAATAATAAATTACCAGTTAGCAAACAAGGAAAACATCAAAAAACTATCAGAATCATTGATGATGAAGATATTGCTGAAAAATGTCACATGTGGATAAGAAGTCAAGGAGGAACAATTACCCCTTTGAAGTTTAAAAATTTTGTGGAACAACAATTATTGGTAGAGAGTGGAATCACCAAAACAAAGGATATTAGACTGTATAACAAAAAACCAAGCCTGTGTATTAAAAACATTCAATAAAGAAATACTATATTAATTTTTTTA